CTACAGTGTTCTCCATGTTCCATGTTCTCTACCTCACCATGTTCTCTACCTCACCGTGTTCTCCATGTTCTCTACCTTAGTTCTCCATGTTCTCTGCCCCTCACCGTGTTCTCCATGTTCTCTACCTTAGTGTTCTGTTCTATACCTCACCGTGTTCTCCATGTTCTCTACCTTATACTGTTCTGCATGTTTTTACCTTACCGTATTCTCCATGTCTCCCACCCCACCTTACCTTGTTCCTCTACTTAACAGTGTTCTGCATGTTCTCTACCTCACCGTGTTCTGCATGTTTTCTACCTTACCGTGTTCTCCATGTTCTCTACCTCACCGTGTTCTCTACCTCATCTTACCGTGTTCTTCATGTTCTCTACCTTACCATGTTCTCTACCTCACCGTGTTCTCCGTGTTCCAGGTTACGAGTGGGTTGGGTGGAAGAACGAGTCCCACCGTCCCATTGAGATTCTCTGCGAGTTTGATGTTGTCAGGAACTTCTCATCGATACACGTCTTCGCTAACAATATGCACACTAAGGATGTTCAGGTGTGTAGCTCTCTGGTTTATGATTTTGCAGGTGTGTGGGTGGTTATGTAGGTGTGTGGATGGTTATGGATATGCAAGTGTGTGGGTGATTATGGTTCTGAAGGTGTGTGATAATAATAATAATAATAATAATAATAATAATAATAATAATAATAATAATAATAATAATAATAATAATAATAATAATAATAATAATAATAATAATAATAATAATAATAATAAACGGTTTATTAATAGAGTTGCAGCCGGTGGCTGAAAATATACAGACTTACATTTGATTTGACATAATGATATAATATGCATTGAATACATTTACAGGGCTGTACAGTACATAAATCAGGAGTTGTTTATTTTAACAATAGATGGGATGGTGCTGTTCTTATATCTATCGGTGCGGGCTCTTATGGGCTGAATTTGTTGTAGTGGCGGACTGCGCGATTTGGGTGGGGGCTGCAGGAGGTATGGCGAGGGCGGGGTAGTAGTCCACGGCCAAACCTTTCCAGTGCTTGGTGGTGGTCACTAAGGATGGCATTTCCAGGGTGGAGAGAGCGTTGTTGTAGCCGGAGTATTCTGCGCCGAGCATGATTCTGCAGGCCCTTTTCTGTACCTTCTCTAGCTGACGTTGTTGGGTGGAGTTGAGAGAAGACGACCACTGACGCATACGTTAGTTTGGGGAGAATAAAGGCGTTGTAGATGGTCCTCAGCTCTGGCGTGGGTGCCCCAAGTGACCTAAGTCTTCGTAGCATGTAGAGACGGTACGAGGCTGCCTTGACTGTTATTTACCTGGGCCTTCCAGTCAAGTTTGTAGGTGTGTGACTGTGTTGGTTATTCAGGTGTGTGACAGTGTTGGTTATGTAGGTGTGTGACTGTTGGTTATGGTCATGTAGGTGTGTGAGGCTGCATGTGAGGGAGAAAAAATAGAGAGAGAGAGAGAGAGAGAGAGAGAGAGAGAGAGAGAGAGAGAGAGAGAGAGAGAGTGACCCATCTCTCATCGTTCATATCCTCAACATAATTCTCTGCCCCGGCTCCTCCATCACACGTCCACAATATGGCCAAAAAAAAAAAGTTTAGAATTTCACGGATTTGTTTCATTTCTCTCTTCTGTTTACATCGCCATGGGTTATTAATTATCGTAACTCCCGCTAGAGGGCTCTCGTGTCCCCGCCATCCGATTTCAGCCAATCAGAACACAAGGCTATCGTACCCCCCAATCATCGTTCGACCAATGAAAGCAACGCCAATCAGCACTCGACTGATAGAGAGCCACCATGTATGTCCTCGATACTCATGACTTGTAAGAGAGAGAGAGAGAGAGAGAGAGAGAGAGAGAGAGAGAGAGAGAGAGAGAGAGAGAGAACATAGTTAATGAAGAAAGAAAAAGTGAAGGAAAAAATGAGGCGAGATTAAAATTAAAAGAAGGAAATAAGATATAGAGATAGGGAAGACCATTATAAAGAGATTGAAGGAAACTAAAGAGAGAGAGAAGAAAAAAGAGAGAGAGAGAGAGAGAGAGAGAGAGAGAGAGAGACGCATAAAGTGAGGGAGAGACAGACAGACAGCAGACAGACATACCTACCCACCTGTACACCTGCTCATAAAGAAAGCAATACTAATTAAAACGCTCAGGTAATCCCAGGACTGAGACAGGTAGGATGGGGAGAGGGTGGGGGTTAGTGGCTGTCAGTAATTGCTGCGGCTCTGTTTAGAGGAGCCACACGATTTACCCCAGCCAGAATGACAGTTACAGATCCTCCCCCTCCAACAAGACACACACACACACACACACACACACACACACACACACACACAGAGACTTGTCCTTCATGCCAATTACTGCAACCCCTCGTTTCATTGTATTTATTTTATTTATTTTGCCTTGTGTGGGGTGGGGGTGAGAAAGGAGGGTCTGTGTGTTTATATATTGTGGTGTGTGTATGTGGCGACCTGTGGTGTAATGGTCAGCATGCTCGCCTCGCAAGCGAGTGGACCTGGTTCGATCCGGCTGGGAACTATGGGCAAGTTTCTTTTACGCCATTTGCCTCTGTCTACCCAGCAGTAATTGGGGACCTGGATGTTAATCGATTTGCGGTCGTGTTCCGGGTAATGGTTAGCCAGTGCAGTTGGCGAGTTGTCCGGTCTTCTCGGACTATTCCTTGACACTGGGTCATGCAGCTCGTTAACTCAGGGTGTGGTTGTTGTGTTGGCGACAGCTTCTACACCTAAACAAATTACGCCTAGTGGCCCTTTGGGCCGGCCATCCGTTACATGAGGGGAACCATTTTTTTTGTGTGTGTGTATAGAGGGAGGGTCTGTTTGTTTGTATATTGTGTAGGTAGAGGTGTGTGTGTGTGTGTGTGTGTGTGTGTGTGTGTGTGTGTGTGTGTCCTTTTTTCACCACACCTCCGTCCCTCATATATATACATCCCTCAGTATTTCTTCCTGAGAGAGAGAGGACAGGTTTACAAGTTCTCACGCTGGGGTAACACCAGGTAGCTCACACACACACACACCGTCTTGGCTGAGGATTGGCGACCTCCTTACCCGTGTGTGTGTGTGTGTTCTTCTTCTTCTTCTTCCTTCTTCTTCTTTTCAATGACATACACTTGAAGACTTGGGGCAGTATGAGGAGGTCAGGAGGAGGAAGACGATGATTAGTGGGGAGTAGGAGAGACCATTCCTCCTCTCACCCACCCTCCTCCTCCTCCTCCTCCTCCTCCTCCTCCTCCCTCCTCCCTCCTCCTCCTCATCCTCCTCCTCCTCTTCCAATTTCTTACTACTCCCATTAAACTCTCTCTTTCTCTCTCTCTTCCTCCCCATTTAAATATCTATTATCCTCCCTCCTGCTCCCCATCCTTTCTCTCCTCTCTCCCTCCTCCCACTCGCCTTCTCCTCTCATCTCTCCTCTCACCTGCCCTCACCGCCCCACACATAAGACATTTTGAACAACATGTTGGGGGGAGAGGGGAGGAGGGAGGGGAGGGAGAGGGGGAGGGAGGAGGGTTATTTATATTCCTTGTGGCATAATGGGCGGGGAGAGAGGAAGGGAGGAGGGGAGGGTAAGGAAAGATGCACAGGGAAGAAGTGAGATAGAGAGATAGAGACAGGGGGGGGGGAGAAGAGAGAGAGAGAGAGAGAGAGAGAGAGAGAGAGAGAGAGAGAGAGAGAGAGAGAGGGAAGGGCGCAGCAGAGACAGAAGAAATACCCACAAATTGATCGCCGTCCCATCGAGTGGAATGGGTAAATTATGAATGGTGACGCTAGGGATGGGAGAGGATGGGTGATGGGGGGAGGAGATGGATGATGAGGAAGAGGAAGTGTTGGATGATGGGGAAAACAGAGGGGTTGGGTGATGGGAAGGGGAGAGGATGGTGTGATGGGAAGGGTGATGGGTGATGGGAACGGAAGATTCATCAGAGTAATGTGGTCGCCATTGTTCAGTGAGGTGGAGAATATTACACACACACACTCTCCTTTACCCGTTTCTTCCTCCCTCTCTCCCCTCGCTGTCTCTCCTCCCCCCTCTCCCTCCCCCTCTCCCCCTCCTCCCCTCCCTTCCTAGGTGTAATTAGCCGGAGTTCCATGGTTCTACTGCCAGATATTTTAATTGGTGCGTCCATCACCCAAGTTGAACTCTCTCTCCCGCCGCTCACCACCCACCCTGCCGCCCACCATCCTACTTTACAACACCCACCACCCTACTACGCCACCCACCCTACATGCCACCCACATCCACAACACCCACCATCCCATATGCCACCCACCACCCTATACGCCACCCACCCTGCCACCCTACTACGCCACCCAACCCTGCCACCCACTAATCATTCTGCCCATGATAGCTGGATAGATAGATAGAAAGATAGATAAATAGATGAGGAGACGGAAGATGTGTGTGTGTGTGTGTGTGTGTGTGTGTGTGTGTGTGTGTGTGTGTGTGTGTGTGTGTGTGTGTGTGTGTGTGTGTGTGGAAGGAAGGAAGGTTTGGTTTGCACCTCCGGAACCATACCAACCCGAGAATCAACACTCTCTCTCTCTCTCTCTCTCTTCCTCTCTCTCTTCTCTCTCTCTCTCCCAACTTACACTCTCACCCACCACCTCCTATTACCACCCACAGGTCTTCTCACGGGCGCAGAGGATTTACTTCAGTGGCACGGAAGAATATCACTACATGCAAGACCAAGTGTCAGAATATGGGCGTAACGTCACCATCAAACTACACCAGAGGATGGCCAAGTACGTCAAGATCCAGCTCTTCTTCCAGGCCAAGTGGATACTAATCTCCGAGATCTTCTTCCTCTCCAGTGAGTATTTCTGTCTATCACCTGTACGCCTGTTGATAGATAGATAGATAGATAGATAGATAGATAGATAGATAGATAGATAGATAGATAGGTTAGGTTAGGTGTGACTCCAGCAGCCTGAAGAATAACCTGCCGGCACTGCACTCGATCGCCTCTCAC